GGGGGTGGGGGTGGGGTGGGCGGGGAGAAAAGTGCAACAATGAATGAACGAATGGAAATCCAAAATCTCTGTAAATGTTCATTGAAATTAATTAAAAAAAGGTAATTTTGTAATAATATAGGGATTTGTCCAGAGGACATAATAGTCCTTAGCTAATAAAATCCAGTAATAGAGTCTCATGTATATGAGACAGTAAGATGCAGTACTCTGTGATGTGTAAATCTTAAATATAAATGTTAAAGGAAAGGAGAGCCTAAATGGGAGTATTTATTCAGAGGTTTCCCATAAAACAAGGCATGAGACGATTATGGAAGATGAACAGTAAAGAGGAGATGGAGAACGTTTCAGTGGGGGAACTAACACCCAAAGAGCAGGAAGGACAGAAGGGAGGAGAGCTCCAACTAGGTAACTCTTCATCTTGCAGAGTAATAAGACAGTCAGAAATGGAGGTGCCCGCATTTGTATGACTAATTTGTACTTCAAATATCAACTGCAGTGCCTAAGAAAATAATTTCTCAAAGTTTAGAACTCGTAAGATATGACTAATAAAATGAGTCTGTTTTTAACTTGAACTCAGTGGAAACCAATTGCTCACTGGCAGTTACATAATCTCCTTGATTTAGGCAGGTTACAACCAGTCTCTTTTTGGCTTACTGAGGGATCAGGTCCTAAAAGTAATCATATACTCAGCAGGGTTGGAGAAACTTCTTGCAGAAGAGTGACTACAGTAAGTATGCTGGAAAGCTAAAGCTACGGTGAATAAACAACTTGGAAAATACACAAAAAGTAGCTGAAGTCAATCTGATTAGTAAATAGGGTGGAGTATGTAGGATTCCTGGGAAAGAAATCCAAGGGCATTCCATTCTCAGGGTGGGGAAGGAAAAGCAAAAAAAAGAGAGATGGCTGTACCCCAAGGGTCAAGGCCAAAAAGAATTCCTGGCCAGAAAGGGAGGAGCCCAGCCCTGGTGAGCTAACAGCTCAGAGGAATTAAGCGGTATATCTAATTAACTGTAGTGCCCCTTGAGCAGCCACAGCGGCTATCGTCTATAATTAAATAAGGAATAATTTAAGAAAAATGAAGTGTAATGTCAGGAATGGGAAGGAACTGTCAGAGGAAATCAAAGCAAAAGGAGATACTGAAATCAAAAGAAATATTAAAAGAACAGGGCAAATTTCTTCTCCAAGTGACACATGAATGGCAAGGTTCCATGTTTTATTTACCTTGGAGTTAGAATACTCAAGATCTATAAAAATAGAACTTCATCTCACTTACTTTGGGCACATTTTCAGGAAGAACCAGTCTTTGGAAAGAGACATCGTTCTGGGAAAAGCAGAAGGTCAGAGGAAGAGAGGAAGAATCTCAATGAGTGACAACCACCGTGGCCTTGAAGATGAATGATCATGGGGATCATGGGAGCAGGACAGGGCAAGGTTCACTGTTCACAGGGTGCTTATGAGTCATAGTCAATTTAACGGTACCTCACAACAACATAAAAACGATGAGAAACCGTAACAAGCCATACTGTCAATCTAAAATGTGCATTTTCACGTTCTTAGGAAGGAGAGTTTACTATTTTCTTTCATACTTATCTGGATGTGTTGAATATCTGGCAAAATTTCAAGGAGAAAAAGGTAAAAAGCTACATATTTCCAACATTCTTAACACTGGATCTTCAAGTAAAGGGAACAATCCTGAAATTATGTTATTATTGAATTTTCTTAAGCATTGAAACTAGTTCCTCAATGTTCTGAACACAGGAGACTCAAAGGAAAAACACTTGCATTATAACTTGCAGGCATTATTTGATTCTATGATATCATGACCTTATTAGAGTTAGATTAATTTAAGAGATAATTGTGGAATCAGCTGTAAATATGCACTTTTCTAAAAAAACAATTCATAATATACTTTTTTGCCAGTTCTGTCCTTACTAGATGCCTAATGCTTTCTTTGTTCTGTTAATAAAATGACATTCTTTAAAGGAGAAGACCAGGGAGCTCTGGTGGCCTAGTGGCAAGAAGCTGCAATCCCAAAGGCACATAGTTCAAATCCACCAGATGCTCTGCTGAAGAAGGAGGGACAATCTCCTCCTGTGCCAGTTGGATCTAATTCAATGGTACACAACAAAAAGGGAAAAAAAAGTAGAACACCTACTGGTGCAGGACAAGATGCCCCCTCAAAGTACATCTAAGATACAATGCCTGACTTAATTAGAATTACTTCCTCCTTCTCAGATGTTGACTACCCTTTCAATTCTGTAAAAGACATAACTAATTTTATAAATTATAAAATGTAATTACTAATTTTTAAAATATATTGTAACTTTTAGGTGTCCTCAGTCTGTCATGGATTTTAAAAACATTTTGAGATGATCTAGAGGGGTAAAATTTGGTATGAATATATAGTTTTTCCCCTTGTTCGATAGAAAAAAAATCCTAAAACATGGAGTTTTATCAGGTCCCCTCTGCCATCCATGGTCAACTGTGTGATTTTAGTTCCAGGAACAAGCTATACCTTTAAGTAAAAGAATAATTAATACAATTTATTGTTATTTATTAAGTGTATTTGAGAAAGTTAGTTCAGTCTAATGACTGAGTAAATAATCCTTTTTAATGATCTCCTTTTTCTTTTAATAAAACTGAGTAGTTACATGAGAGATTTTTATAAATGATCTATTCTCTGAGGGCATCCTTTGGCCAAGTAACAGAGTAGCTCATAAAATAAGTCACACCAGTGAGTTCTCCATTCCTTTAAAAAGCATCTTTATAAGACTCCAAATTTCGTCAGTATTTACAGCAAAAATGAGAAGGCAAAGTGAGCAGCTCACAAAACGACTGGGAAGGAAACGTAATCAATGCCACTGAACAATCTGTGTAGGCAATTGTTAAATGTGAACTTAATTTGCTGTGTAAACTTGCTTCAAACAAAAAAATGAAATATTATTTAAAAAAATAATATAAAAAGAAAAAAAAATATTGTGAGACATCAGGAACTGAGTATCACTGCTAGAACATTCTTTGTCACAAAAAGCCAAAAATGTGACTCATTAGGAACTGAAGTATGACATCAGTCATCTTACAAAAAATTATTTTTAGAAACCAATAGTACAGTTTATGGATTTTTAACTAGGATGGTGAAGCTTCTTCTCACATACTTTGGGCAAGTTGTTAGGAAAGGCTCTTCCCCAGAAAAGGACAACATACTTGGATGGGTACAAAGTCTGTGAAAGAGAGGAAGAGTCTCTGAGATGGGTTGATACAGTGGTTGCAGCAAAGGGATCAAGCATGTCCGTGATGTTAAGAATGGCACAGGACTGGGCAGAATTCCAATGTGTTGTTCACAGGTTGCCATGAATCTTACTCAGCTCAACAACACTTAACAACAACTAACCCAAGAGGACCAAAGAAGTAAAATTCTTTCCACTCTTCAGCAAAGATAGGTTTGTAAATGGTTCTGTGAAGAACTAGGAGAACCTCTACGGTCTGGAAAGGTATGATCAATTTAGAGTCTTCTCCTCTGAAATAGCTATTAAGGGAAAAATAGACTCAGATAAAGTTGGTTGGTTTTTTTTTTTATAACAAAGAGCCATAGAAAAAGTATCATAAAAAAAGTTCTGGATTTCTGGAGCTATTACTATAGAGAGAATTCACATCTAGCTTGATGGGGAAGTGAGCTACAGATAAAGTGAATTATTTTTTTTTTTTAATTTTATTATTTTTGTGTAAGTGTACCGTCAAATCAGATCTGACTGGTACAGGAGGAGACTGCCCCTCCTTCCCCGGCAGAGCATCTGGTGGATTTGAACCATACGCCTCTGGGATTGTAGTTGCAGCTCCTTGCCACTAGGCCACCAGAGCTCCCCTTAAAGTGAATAATTTTAAAGATTTTCTGGAATGTGATACTTTAGAGATAAGACCCATAGGAAGGAAGGCTTCATGACTAAGGGTCACTAGTGACTGATGAGTCACTGATTAGTGACTGATTTAAGGATGAGAGACTAGGGTGGGTTTGAGAAGACATTTTAGCTTTTACACTCAGACTGTTTGGCTTTTAGCTATATTTCAAAGTAAATGTTAGCTATATCCCAGCTACTATTATTTTAATAATATCAAAGACTGCTCTCTAAGTCTCACAATTGTTAAAGAGAATTCTCCCTTCTTGAAATCCACGGCACCATGATATGGTTTGACTCTGGCCAACTAAGGTAATAAGACAGTACTCAGCATTTGCTGAAACTCAAAAACTCATCTCTGTGGTTTTGTACTCCATGACACACAGTTTAATGTTTTTGGGGTGTTTTTTAAAATATACAATGGAGTATCATTCAACAATACAAAAATAGATAGTACTGACACATTCTTCAACTGAAAAAAAGTCAATCCAAAGGACCACAAAATGTTATCAATGCATTTACATGAACCCATCAGAAGAGATAAATCTATAAAAAAAAATCTGATTAAAAGTTGCCTGGATTTAGAGGAAGGAGCCCTGTGTGTTTTCAGCAGGTTAAGTGCTGGGCTGTTAACTGACAGGTCAACAGCCACCTGAAGGGAGAAAAATCAGGCTTACAGACACTGAAGTCCAATAGAGGGTTTCCATGAGCTGGCTAGCAGGCCAGTAACTAAGTTTATGATTACACAATACTGGAAACCTGCTTGCTATTAGACCTAAAAAGTCAGTAGGAGCCACAAGGGAAAAAAAAAATTAATTAGTATTTGCTTTGAGGCAAAAAGCTCATTTCATGTCATGTTATGTTACGACATACACAATTTGTAAAAGTACAGATGTACTTAGTTTCCTTGCAGGATATGTAAAATAAAACACTACAATGGGAGGCATTTGGATTAGAAAAATCTGAGCGTGCTGATTACAAAGCATTAACAATCATGACCATAAATTATTAAGGAAGGCTACAGGATAGTCTTTAGAAATTAAATTTTCTTTTTTATCTAAACATAGTTTTAGATTTGTTAGAGTAGTGAACTAAAGAATGTTATTAAAAATCACTGTGTAATAAAACTTTGGTTAAAAAAATCATTAAAAGAAACTTAATTAACCAACTTGAGGGAAACATAAATGTCTAAAAGACTTAACAGATATTTAAAGCAATAGTTATTACACCAGTAAGATCATCAAGGGGTCTCTAAAATTATCACTTTCTCCAGACCTATCATTAAAAAGAAGGGGGGGAAATCAACTGTTGTCAAATAACGGCAGAAGTTCTGTGCTGACCTTTTTTTTCTCCAGTGTAGGGCACATAGTCTTCCCTGTCCTTATGCTCCAGTGCCTCCTTCTCCAGGTATGAAAGGAGGTGCTCCCTATCGAACGGCCCGGTGGCAGACTTTGAAGTCTGGTTCTTCTGTCGGAACCCTGCAGGCAGGAGGGCATTCTGCCAAAGAGAACAAATCAGTAACTGTGACCATCAAAGCTGCCAATGCTGGGTGCTTCCATAAATGGCCCATATGAGAAAGAATTAGAGACTAGCACAAGAAAAAAAATTATAGCCTAGAATGTGGTATAGGCATTAAACAGTTCATTATAGGATTTTAGAGCAGCAGTGTAAAAATACTCCAAAGGAAAGATGAGTTTTTTTCCCCCATAGGAAAAATTCACTTACATTATTATTAAATGTGTACACCTTTTCTTTAGAAAGTATGGGGCCAGTGGGAAACACCCTGCAGTTTTAAAATTTTCTGAGTAAAAAAAAAGGTAAGGTTCTTTGACATGCTTAATAATCGGCTCAGTACAGATACACATAAAAGAATAATTTTATCACAAAAGAATGTTAAATGGCTTGATACATCACATCTCTTCCAATAATCTACAGTTTATCATGAAGACTTTCTCATAAAGAAACCATGTACATTATACACAAAATATAAGAAATTAATGTTTATTTGTGCTTAAATACAATGTGAAAGGCTCAACTTTTTACAGTATTTGTATGTGTATACACATGGATATTAGAATAGATTGACAAATAGTCTATAAGTCTATGTGTGCATACATTTTGTTTGTTTGTATATGCATATATAAGCACACTAGAATATATGTGCACCGATCACAGTAAGTTACACACACATACGGGCACTCGAAGATCAGCGTTAGTACCCTGTCCCTAGGTTTCATATGGATACTCTGTTGTGAGTGTATGGACAGATTCCTTAACAAGAATCTTGTTAATTCAAAACTGCCTACAAGGACATAAAGATGAAACATAAAATTTCTCTTTCAGACTTTGAAACTGAAGTCAATAATTACATATGATGAACCCATAAAGTACTATCGCTTTTTACTTCCTAAAAAATTTATTAATCTGTCTACATTTTTTCCATTTTTACAACCACCACCTTGATCCAAGGCTGACTTAAACTTCATTATTATATTAACTTCCAGCTTATCCCCCTGGTTCAGCTGCCTTATGCTCTATCTCCCTTTGCTCTTACAATCTGTTATCTTAGCCTCACCTCACACCATACTGCCTACACTTTTTCAGTCAAGTCACACTAGCCTTTATTCCTCCCTTACACTTCTTTCATTTACAAGGTCATTATGTATGTGGTTTCCCCATTTCCTGGACTGTTCTATCCATCCTTCTTTGCTATTCATTCTTTAGAGACCATATTTATTTTTGTTCATCATTGCTACCCTATACGTAGCACTGAACTTGGATATACAGAAGTTCCTTAAGTATTTACTGAGTAAAGATCTGAAAATACATTTGAAGAAAAATGACAAGGCAAAGAAATAAAACTCACTTTTCTTTGCTGTTAATAAGTCTTGCATTAATGTATGGCTATTTCACAATATTAGTGATAGAAATGCAATATTCAATCCAAGAGGAGCCTGTGTGTGTTGAGTTCCATCGAGTAGGAACCTACCTAGAGATGCCCTCCAGCGAGTTTTCAGAAGCAGTCAATCACATGGGAGAAGGTTGTCAATCCTTCTCTCACAGAGCAGCTGGTGGATTTGAACCACGTGCATTTGGGATTGCAGTGTAGACTTTTAACACTAGGCCACCAGAACTCTAAGAGAAGCAAGCCTACAGTTTTTAAATGGTATATTATTTGAGATTCTTGTTCTTAACAGTCCTTGTCTCAAACAAATAGCTGACTAGTTTTAGAACTCTAACTCCAGAACCAAGCTTCATTAGAAATATATTATCAAGTAAGTTAATGAATAACAATTTAAAAATTATTGAAAATTCATTAAAATGACTACCACTTAAAATCAGCTCTTTCTTCTGTGCAGAGGAATTCTGTTGTAATAACACATGCACAGTATTGTGTGTGTATAAATATGTATATGTATATATATATATGTATGTATGTATGTGTGTGTGTGTATATATATATATATATATATATATATATATATATATATATATATATATAAATAAATAAAGAAAAAGGTTTGCCTAGCTGGCTATCTTTAGGCGAGAGCTGGTCTGAGAAAATACAGTAGTTAGTAAATTAACACAAAACCAGTAACCAGTTACTGTAAGTTGATTCCAACTCATGGCAACTCCACAAATCTTCACCCAATTTATAGAAACCCTCCTTGGGTTTCTGTGGTTGTATATGTCTTGGCATAAAAAAACATGTGGTACAAACAGAAGCCTAGCAAGTAACCACAGTCCTAAAGTTAAGCAGTCATTACTAATAGGTTCCACTAATAGGTTCCATACACCCCTCCACACCCCCCAAAACATCACAGTGAACCCAGGGTCTTTGTCTTAGTCTTGTATAATTTGTAAGACATCCAGTATTCACTTTCTATATTAAAACATATATTCAGGTCTGCTCCATAAAGGCGATTATATTACTAGAAGCCCACTTAGACTTACCCTGTCATAACTAGAAATCATTCCATTTGCTCAGTTGTCTTTCAGAAAGATAATGATCAGGTTTAAAGTCAAGAAGGACTTTGTGGAGATACTACATTGGAGCCCATCTGGTAAAGAGGCTCTGAAGAGGCACAGAGGTTGGCACACAGAATAGAGCTAATCACTTGCTGCGCTTTATCAAAAACTACTTCCGTGTGCACAAAGAAAATATTTCTTGAGAGGACAGAAATTTTCAGAAGTCTGAAAACAAGTTTGTTCTGTCGACAACGAATAAGAGAAAGAAGTGGAGGAATCGAAGAAGTAAAAATTTAGGTCAGTGAATAAAAAGAAGAGGGATGAGGAGGGTGGGTGGTACCAGGGGAAAGTTCTGAAAAAGTGAACTGCTGAAAGGCAGATCCATTTTGTCTTGAAGGATGTGAAAAGATACTTGATTTTCCTTTGTACCCAGACTCACCTCAGGATCAAGATCATCGAGAACAGTTTCCAGCTGTTTCAGTTCTACTTCTGACAGATTGCCAAGGAGCTCATCTTCGTCAAGGTCCTTGTACTTTTCTAAGTCCTTCCGGAACGGCAGTGTCATGTTTGCAGTGTAGGAAGCCACTTATTCAGCAAAATTAATGGCTTCTGATTTTCTTAAAGCTATGGAGGGGATAAGAAAAGCCCAAATAATTTTAAAAAGTTATCCTTACCTACTTAGACTATCAGGCTAAATAAAATATCATTTCCGCGTGCCATATAGTTTCAGATCAATGATCATACTTAACATTTGTTTAGGGGTCATTCATCGACTTTACCGTTTTTGTGGCTGTTGACAAAATAAAATAGGTGGCACAACAAAATTCAAATCCATTAACACAGCTACTTGATTAGAATTTCCAATAACTGAGTTTTAGAGAGAAAGAAGTAACAGCATGTGCTAAAGGAAAATGTTTTCATCAATGATTCCAGAGTGTTGCAATCAGAAAACTCTGCCTGAAGCATAACATGCTAAAGGAATGCTTGTTTTACTGTAAATTGCTTAGAACTTTATTTTTAAGCTCAATATTAGAGCAAGGATACACAGTATGTGTTTAGGAAAGAAAATACGGTATTCTGAAAATGACTGAGTCAAACATTCAAACCGCACTAAGATATGGTCCCCATCACATGGTCTGGCTGTGATGGTCTGGCGGGGTCTGCCTATCCACAGGAAAGGAGTGTGACCACTTCCTCGCTAGTGGGTTTCTCCCAAGTAAGCTAGGAGGTTCATCCTTCTGAACACAGAAGAAGCACTGCTCTGTAGGGACAGTTATGGAAAACAAGTCACACAACACACAGGAAGTAAAAGTAAAATGTGTCTAAACATCCTAGCCTTATATGTGAATCATCTGCCTCACAAATGTTCCTCTCTATATAAAACAATTGTTAGTGATGGCAGTAATTTCTCTTGGCTGCAAATGTCCTATGCCCAAAACTACTGCCATCAAGTCAGTTTCAACTTGGAGCAATTCTCCACTCAGTTTCTGAGTCTGCAAATCTTCACAGGAAGGGACTGCCTATCTTTCTCCCACAGAGTGACCTATGGAGTCAAACAACTAACATTTCAGTTAGCAGTCTTATCCACCAGGTGCAAAAATGACCCAATATTTAACATTTTAAATATATTTTCTTTAGTGTCCTTTACTGCCATGTTTTCCCAACTTATTGCCATCAAATCAGAATCAATTCATCATAGCTGACATTCCAGTGGGTTTTCAGAGGCCATAAATCACACAGGAGGAGACTGCTCATCTTTCTTCCCTCAGAGCCACTGGGCTGGCAGTGCAATTCCTTACCACTAAGCAATCAGAGTGTGAGAAATCAGTGTTCAGGAGGACCATGGTGATACAGGAGGAAGTTCAAGCTGCTCTGAAAGAACTGGCAAAAAACAAGGCCAAAGGAATTGATGGAATACCAACTGGTCTATTTCAACAAACAGATGTAGCCCTGGATCAGCAGGTTGTGTCAAGATATCTGGAAAACAATCATCTGACCTATATTTATTTACATTCTAAAAGAAGGGTGTGTGTGTGCATGTGTGTTGTGTGTATATATGTGTGTATATATTTATATATATGTATTATAACACATATATACAATTTAATTTTGTCTGGGTTTTACACTTTATGAGATCATATAGTACATATTCTTGACACTGCTTTCATTTTTATTTCTATGTAGTATCCCACTGTATCATAAACATTTTATTTACTTGTACCCTTTTTTCCTCTATTTTCCTGCTATAAACAACCTTGGTTTTTTCCTGATATATCTGTGTATGGAAGAGTTTCGCTATGATTCAAACCTAGAAATGCAACTCCTGGGACAAGCCCAAGTATTAGATTTAATACTTCTTAAAGTACCTAATATTTTAGGTCTTATCAAATTATTTTAAAGCTAAATTGATTGTACCAATTTACATTCCTAGATGCAGCATATGATAATTTATGTTGATTTTAATCCTTGTTGATTATTGTTATTACTAAAGTTTTTCTTTTTAGTCAGTCTGGTAGATATATGCAGTGTTAGCTTTAAAGGCTGGATTTTTTAGCCTTTAGATTAGCCCCCCTCTGGTTCCCAACTATCTTAATTGCAGATACATGGTCTTGCAAATCATCAACAGCTGTGGGGTGAGAACAAGAGCAAGCTTCCCACACTGAGCAGACTTAAGGAAACAAGACTCTGGTGATGGTGGTGGAGAGGCTGCAACATTGCTGTGGAGAAACTTTGGCAAGATGTAACCAGAGGAGCATTGAAATAAAGGCCATAGTTGAAGGTTTTTCTGTTCTTGCCGAATGATAGAAGGAAAAACTAACTTGTAAGTGCTCTGAGGTAAACCCTGCTGGATGATTAAGGAAACCAAAGGCTTCTTGAACCTGTGCTGCTGAACTGAAACTAGAGCCTGGACTATTTGAGGGATTGTGCCTTAGGACTGCTGGGCTAAAATATGGACTTCTATGAGTGATATTCTTTGCCGTTCCCATTCTCCAACTTACTTTCCGAATAAACTTCACTTTTTTAATTGGTTTGCTTACAAAATTCACGTACATTGTGTTTCACACTATTCTTCATTCACACTGTTCCATACATGTCATTCTCATGAATTGTTTTACAAAATTAATCATCATTGGACCTTGCCCATAATTACCTTGTCTTTTCATCCAGATCCTGCCCATTTCCTCCCCCCCCTCCCCCCACCAAACTGTGCAACTGTGTGTAAACCCCACTCTTGGTGCCACAACTGTGAATCAAGTCTGTGAGTCAACACAACGAATGTCAGACCCATATGACTGGCAGAAAGAGCTGCAGGAGTGTAGGGGTGGCATGTGTGATTGAGCTGCTATTTCTGCTATGTCTGTATGGATGGGGACAGTTCCCTTTATGAAGGAGGGAGAAGTCAGACTCAGTCACCTTCACATTGCATTAGCTCCTTTCATAATATAAAATAGTAATTCACTGGTTTATTTGCATTTTACTGAATTATGTTGCGTTTTGTGTATCATTTAATATATTCATCGGTGCTCTTTATGCTGTGAGCAATTTGTTACCCATTTTCATATATAACTTTTTTATTGATACATGAATGCTCTTGATATATCTTGGATATTAATCTTGGTGGTTATATGTGTAACAAATACTGTTTTCTTTTTCCTCTATGCCTCCAAGTCATAGGATCCTATGTACAATAGAATGAAACCTGCTTGATCCTGTGTCATCCTATATTTTTTTTTTTACAATGTTTGGTGTCATCCTATATTTTTAAAATATTTTCACTTACATTTTTAGAGAATTTACTTCTTTAGCCTCCCCCACCCCTTTCATGTTAATCAAGCCGGCATTTCCTTTCTTTCTGGATTATGAAGTTCTGCCAAGATATTAGATGTTTCCAGTCAAAGTTTTCTATCTGGCATCAATAAAAAGCAAACAGATGGTGCTCATTCTACCCAGTGTTGTCCAAACACTTACCAATAAAGCAGTGCTCTGGGATTTTTCCTCCATGTTTTTATTGGTTTGCTCACAATCATCCATCACATTGCTGTTTCATGCATGTACACTGTTTTATACAATCTTTCATTTACATTTTGTTTCATTTGTGTACACTGTTTTATACAGTCATTCATATATATTGTATTCTATGTCATTAACTACTACTGTTATTCAAAATTGGGAAGGGTGTAGGCCAGGGATGTTCCTATCCTTTTCAATCTCTATGCAGAACAGATCATCTGGGAAGCTGGGCTCTATGAGGAGAAATGTGGCATCAAGATTGTAGTAAGAGTCATTAACAATCTGCACTATGTAGATAACACAACCCTGCTTGTGGAAACTGAGGAGGACCTGAAGTGATTGCTGCAGAAGGTCAAGGACTGCAGCCCTCAATATGGTTTGAGGCTCAACATCAAGAAAACAAGGATTCTCACCACTGGGCCGATTAGGTGTGTCAGTAAGATTGGCACATGATAGGGCAGGGTTTAGGGCTGCTGTATATAGGATCATAACAAATACAACAACAACAACAATTACTATCGATCCATGAATACTATCACCTTGTCTTTCCAAGTTCCCAATAAATGTTTCTTATCCCTTTAACCTCTATCTACCCACTAACCTCTATTATCCTTATGATTTCCCTCCATCTTCCTTTCCTCTTCCTCTTTTGAATATCTTGCTCAGTTACCTTATTTTTACAGTAATGGTCTTATGGAGTATTTATCCTTACGAAACTGAGTTATTTGACTCAGTATAAGGCTCTCTCGACTCTCTTCATGTTATATAGTATTTTATTTTACAAAATCGCTGTTGCTTAGAGCTGTGTAGTATTCCATTGTGTGACTGTAACACAGTATCTCAATCCATTTGTTTGTTGATAGGCATTTGGGCTGCATTTTCTTCCTATTGTGAATAATACTGAACACAACTGTATATATCTCTGTGTGTGTCTTAGCTCTGATTTCCTTGGGGTATATTACTAGCAGAGGAATAGCTAGGTCATATGGGAGCTCCCAGTTCATCTTTTAGAGAAAATGCCAAGCTACCTTGCAGAGTGGTAGCACCATTTTGCATTCCCACCAGCAGGGAAATGACAAATTGTTCTCTAATAAGCTCAAATCTCTCCACATTGTTTCCAATTTACTGTTAGCTGTCCTCTTAAACGCTGCTACTGCTACTGGAGAGTGATGGTATCTCATTGTTGTTTTGATTTGCATCTTTTTTTATTGCCAGTGATTTTGAACATTTCTTTACCTTTTGGGCATATCTTCCTTTGCAAAGTCTTCTCATGTCTTTTGCCATTTTCTTATTAGTTATCAGTCTTTTTTTCTTGTGGAGACCCTGTAGTACTCTGTGTAAACTTTCATTTTTATATCACTGCCAAATGGTTTTCTTTCCAGTCTACAGGCTTTCTTTTACCTGACTGGAACAAGTTTTTGATGTATTTTGATATTTAGAAGGTCTCACTCATCAATTTTATCCTATCCTCATTCTGCAATTCTGGCTATACTTGCAAGTCTATTTATGCTATAGTCAAGGGCTTTTAAATTTGGTCTCTTTTGATCCTTATGGTTTTGGGTTTTACCTCTAGATCTCTGATCCATCTTGAGTTTATTTTTTTATGTGTTTAT